CTCCCAATCAGGAGCCGGCTCCCGTCGTTCACTTCAAAGAGCCGGCTCTTAGAGCCGGATCGTTCACGACCGACCCATCACTACTTTATTGTGTATAATCTACCATAGGGGCATCCAAGAGGGCGGTTTTGTGGTGTTTTCTTTGAAAATGAGGGAACCAAAAGACCAGATTGCTTCCTGGTAAGACACTTGTTTCTGATGAAAATTTCCAGTGGAGTTGTAGTCACATCAGTAGTTTAAATCCCAAGGTGGTTCCCAACCTTTTTCCTGAAGGGACCCCTTTTAATCATTGAGAAAACTGACAATCCCTGACCAAGTGACATATTTTATGGATATTTCATATTATATTTAATACATAACAATAACATTACAGAACAACTGATTAACCGTACAATTAACCCAAATAGTGAACCCAATAACTGCAGGATGTTTATGTAAAATGAGAGATTTGGATGAATTTAGAGCTGATCATTTCTTGTGAATTTGTTTTTTAACAATCACACATTCTTAATAGGCTTCTTTTTTTGAAAAATGTAGTCTTTTCTTCTAACTGTGTCCTTTTCTAATGCAGGACGAGGCTGGTAAAGAAAAACTTTGATGCATAGAATAAGAATGAAAGAAAGTCTTCCTGATTGAACTCTCTAAGCTTCAGTTGACTACACTTTCACACTGGACAGCTTACAGAGTAGTAAACAACAAACATGCCTTCATACAGTACATACATACATATACAGTGTAGAAAAAAAATCATTAAGTAGTTATTATGGCTGTACTTCCAAACCTGGGGGTTATGCCTTCTTGATTTTAAGGGGTGTAAGCAAAGTTAACTTACACAGTAGGTCACATATCTCAGCATTTTGTTCATTTCTGTGAAGAAAACAAAATGAAATTGATATTTTTAAAGTTTAGATTATTATTTAAGATATAAACTAAGACCTGAACCTGTACACAGTTTGTCAAAAAAGAAGCCTATTAAGTACGCATGACTGTTGGAAAATATAGAAATACATAATAAAGATTTCTGAAACTTTTTATACAATTCTGTCTGACAATTTATGTATTTATTATGATGCATTATTTCCTGTGAATATTGCATCAGCAATGCATAAGCTTCACAAAAATTATCCAAATCACTCATTTTACAAAAACCTCCTGCAATTATGGAGTTCATTATTTGGATTCATTGTACTGTTATTGTAATACTTTAAATATGACATATCTATAAAATGCCACTGATGTCAGGGATTGTCAGTTTACTCTATGATAGAAGGACTCTTTTTTTTTTTACTGCATTCAGAACTAGTTTTTAAAACCAAGTATACTGTTTTTTTCATAATGACAGTTCAGACTGTCCCTGCAGTGACTCAGTGTACCTCACGCTTCACAAATGTTCACTTCTGTGAGTTGACACTCTGCTTTTCAGTGGATTTGGACATGCTTATCAGAGTGGTAACACATTGCAGGTGCGTGCTGTTTTGCAGTACCATACAGTGAAGTCAGCAGCTGAATAATTACACCAATAAATGGGATTTTTTAGCTGGCCAGTTTCCAGACAGCAGGACCCTTCAGTGTTTCATTACTGAGGGGGAATTTTCCAACAAGATGAGCTGAACCAAAACGTATAAAACACACAAGCTGGGGAATCTTCTGCCCCGGGTGGGAACTGTAATTTAAGGGATGCCTTAATTGAGCCTCATTACCAGAACCAGCAGGTGGTCTTACATAATACCAGTGGGGAAACACTGTTTGGTACATCTGTGTGTCTGTGTTACGAAAGCTATTTTAGATGCCGATATTTCTTTTTTTATGTTAATAATGTATTTTTATGATACTTCATATACCATACCTGAGTTTCAATACGCTGAGTCTTTATGTAAAATACAAACTCTTAATTTATCAAGACAAGCAAAGGGTCAAAGTTCATTGTTGACCCTGAAAATAGTAGCTTGATGGAACGATTGCATCTCAAGGTCTCTTGGGTACATGTGATACAACTTAAAGCACAGGAAAAAGCTAGTGAATAAACTTTGAGTTGGGATTGATTTGACAAAATGCCATTTTCAAGAAGGAACTATCAAAGAAATTATATAATTATAGAGTTAGATAATTAGACAGCCAGGAAAGTTGAGTCTCATTCCCAGGTTGTCAGATAATCGACTATCTTCAAGCAACCAACCTAATGTGTCTTTCTAGTTTTCTTGGTTATGATAGGTTGTTTTTGTTCAGGTATAGTGGATTCTTGCAAATGCCATCAGGAGCACTAGAAGGAGCCAGAGGAACCAGATTTCTTCACAAATTATCTGTCTCATTTACTACCGTCAGGATATAGTGAAAGTTTCAGCAAATATCATACAATTTTATTTTTATAATAGTTACCTACTGCAGCTTTAATATACTTAAGTTATGTCAGTTACGTTATGTGAATGACATTGACATGAGAGGGATACCTAGGTCATATTTTGAAGCAAAGGGCCACTGACTAAGTGGCAGTATTTGAGGAGTTGGGAGACTTTTTGATAATTTCAGCTGTCGTCAGTTATGATGATTGTGGGAAACACTTCTTAAGCTGTAAGACGCTTCTGGGAAACGAGGCGCTAGTAACCCCCCCCCGTCCCAACTGTCATTTTACAAACTGCAAAAAAGTATTGATAACCAATTCCAAGTCCTACAGTCATTCTTTTCTACTGATATGGTGTAATAAATTAAACAAAGGTCTTAGTTCCAGTTGGTGCCTTTTGAGCATTAACATCCTGACTGTGTATAGATAGTGCAACATAATCAATTTGCCTCCTTCGTGAGTGAAGCAGCAGGCTGTACGTCTCCCTAGAACATGTGAGTCTGTTCTGAGGAAGGAGCAGCTCTCACACACCAGTTCAACTGGCTGAAAACTGATATGGAACCTGCTCACATCTCCTGACGCTGGAGGAAATCAAACAGAAACCCAGCAGCAGAGAAACCCAGCGGAAACGTCCGGCACTTCAAAAGCGATGCTTCATCCGTGTGTCCTGAGGGAGCTTCCAACATCCATGACGGCAGCATGGACTTCCTGTGAAGTGCTGCGATATCCAATATATTTATTTTTTCTCACTGCTTCAAGCTGGGGGAAATTAAATGCCTCCTTGGAAAATTGAGGAAGAATCCATGCTCACATGAGGGCTTTTCATCATGTTCAGCTGCTGTCACATAGAGCAGATGAAAAGGTCCAGAATGTGTGTGTGATAACACTTATCTGACTGAAGCTCACAATGACACACACACACTCTTTCATGCTCTGCTTTATAAATATACACTGAGGCCTTGATCCCAGAAAAAAAGCAGGCATCTTAAGAAATTTCCCAAACAAACCAATGCAGGTGATGTTTACAGATCAGTCAGTCTACACAGTGCTGAATCAATGTGTTTGAAGTTTTTCTGTAACATCACTTGATGAAAACTTGATATTTTTGGGGGAATTTTATTTTTTTAGAAAATCACACCAGAAATAAATACAGTAAAATCCATAAAATTCATTCACATTTCTGTAAATGGCACTTCATGCTTCTTAGAGTCAATTCTTGCCACAAGGGTCAGGTCATCCAGTCCTCTCTCTTCAGGAACCTCACTGCATCATTGAAACCTTCTTCACATAAAGACTGCATGCTGCTGGTGGATGGCGGGAACAGAGCCTGGTTCAGACGTTTGATGTTTTCCACGGAGACCTGAGGAAAGCCAAGAAAGTACTACATTTAGGTTGAATTTTCAAGAAAATTAGCAAGCCTTTGCTTTCATTAAAACTAATGGAATTTATTATTAATGGCAATTAATAGCGGCTATGGAAATGCTACTGTGTAACCCAGAGATTCTCAAACATTTTTCTGTCATAAATCACAAAAATACACATAAGAGGCTGTG